GAAAGAGGGTAAACTTCATTATACTTTAGATATGCTGCAACTAAATCATCACGGATTATAAGTCTCTATAAAGTAAATTTTTAATTAAACCAAGGCAAATATTGTTTAAAGTTACTATCCTATGTTAATCTAATATTCTACCTGAAATGAATTGTCATGAAGAATAAAATTGAAGCATTGATAATTGATTATGCTTCAGAATATAAGGTAATATTGTTCTTTGCATATTGTTTCCTTTTCCTTACCTTGATTTTTATTCTGTTCTTTACCCCTCCTTTCACATTCTTTTTAAATTCATAATGCCTACAATAAAATTGCAACCCTTGGTTCTCAAGGATTCTAGCTCTCAAACAGGTACTTGTGCCACTGAGTGAACTTGTTGTAGGCCTAGAAAGAGCGATGAACTGAGATGACTAGAAAGCACTTATCTCTGTGTCCCTTCTTTCCACTGTCCCATTCGACATGGATAAGCAGCTGACAAATTTTGCCATGCTTTTGACTGGTCATGGGAAGTCCTCTCATTGAATAATATTCTTCCTTCTTTTTATTATAACCAAAGCTTTACTGAAAAGGATAAGTGCTTTTAAAAATGTGCTGCCCTGATAATTTGTGATCTTAACTATTTACCACCAAATATTACTTAACAAGGAAAATAATAAATAGAAATAAAAAGAGCAATTAATTGCTCAAGGTACCTCAGCACATTGGTAATGAAATCAAGGACTAAAACCTTAGTCTTCCAAATATAAATTCAATCCTCTTTTTAGAATTTAATTGAAACACCTTGTGAACCTGATCAAACATGTAGTTTGAACAAATCTCTACACTTTAATCCAGTTTTGGTATATTATTTTGTTATGTCATGAAGAGGTGGCTTGCTCTGTCTTTTTAAAAATCTATTGAGTATTGTTTGTTTTATTCCCTTTTTTCTATATTTTATTATATTGTGAACTCATCCAAACAGACACATTCAGTGTTGAAGGTATTGAAATAGATGAGGATTCTGCCCTCAAAGACCTTAACTTCTAAGAAAAGTTTGCAGTCTTAATTTGATTCTGCTGCTTGTGTTAAGAAACAGACAAGTTTCATATTGCTATGACCTTTTCACTGCTTAAAACAGATGGAATTGTTCTTTTCACCACAAATTTCAACAAAGTTGTATGTCCCTACTCTCAACCTTGAAACACCCTTCCTACTATGAATCTCCAAAGATTTCTGAGACAGATAAAAAAGCAAAATTGTGTAGAAGGAAAATGAGGGAGACACTCAGAAAGAAACAAAAATAACTAAATCAATTGGAGCTCAGCAATCTTGCACAGCCAATACACACATGAGTCATGGTACCCATTTATTATAAGATAGATGATTTGTCTGTAGTACATCCTCTGTGGTCATCCCTAGTACCAAATGTTTTGCTATTCCTCTTTTACTGAATAAGTATTCTTTGCTTAGCTTTATTTGTAAGTCTAGTATTTTCTGCTCAACACTTTGTAAACAAGTAATGCCCCTCATTTTCCTGCACATGCCTGGTTTGTTCCTTATAATGTCAATGATTAGCATGATAATCCATGTTCTTTTAAATGTATGTTGAAATAGATACGCCTATACTGTGCACCAAAGAAAAAGAAACAACACCCAATTAGATCACCAAAATGGGTTCAAAATCTTTGGTTCATAATGAATTGATACCACTTCGTGGTCTAACATTTAAACCTTGGAAAGATTAGGTTAAAGTTTAAAATGGCAGTTTAGAGAAGAGAGCAAAAGAGCGCAATTGTAGTTTTCTTCCATGGGTGTTGCAATAATGAGTAAAGGATTGAAGGGTTTGTTTTAAAAAATTTGTAGCCACTTACTAATTGTGAGTCTGTAAACTATACCTTATTTTAAACTGTATCTTATAATAATGTATTTGCCTACCATAAAATGTCTGACTTAGTTACATTTTAACTAAACATAACTTAGTTGTGAATTTCTAAAATCGCTGTGAGCAAGGCAATGTGTCATATATAAATTGGAAAGTTACATCTTTTAAATAAACAAAACATTTTACATTGCTTTAGCGCTGCTGCCAGAGTTTAAAGGTGAACAATCTTGCCTTAAAAGTTAGTGACACCCTGCTGATCTCCAAGGGTCTGTTGATTGCATTTTTTTTTAATATCCTTGTAAGGCTTTAAATTTCATCGGTCCAACTAGAAAATGGGAGTACCTCTGACATAATAGCTCATATTACACAGCAATTACGCTTTATCCATAGATATTGTGCATTTAATTATTGTACAGCTAGCCAAAATTCTTTACGTAGTTCTCCATTTTTAACTGTAACTCTGAAGAAATATGCTCAACATAAGCAAAATTAACTTCAGATAGAATAGTAAAAAACAGTTTTTATTGTCCTATAAATCTAATCATGGTTTTGTTCATTATACTTCATAAGGTATTTTCAAATACCTTATGCCATTAATGCTTACAGAATGTCTTTGAGGGAAACAGGATAGTATTTTCCATTATTATAGACACAGACTGAGTCCTAGGGTTTCAGTTATTTTTGCCTATGTTCATAGTGAAGTTGAGATTCAACCTTGTTATTTTTATTCAGCTTAGTATTCAAAGGTGAAGTTAATCTTTGGTACCTGTTCTTTGTGAGTCAAAATATTTGCAATAAATCCACAAGCTTCAAAATACAGTGTCTTTATGTAAACTCAAGACTTTTTAAGACCTTTCAATTTTAAACTTCATCTGAGTCTATTTTTCCTGAAAAGGTCTACTTCAACAAGCATTGGCCGTGTCCTACGCATACTAGAAATTGTGCTAGGCATAATGATTCCTGCTAGTTCTCAAATGTTACACAAGCTCTATCAGGATCAACTGGGCAACTGAAAAAAAAGAAAAGAAAAGAAAAAAAAAAAAACAAACAACAAAAAACAAAAAACCAGGAATTCCAGGCTTACTTCTGAATGAAGACATTAGACTTCTAGGTTAGAGCGTGGGGACATGGGTAGTAACAAATTTCAAATTATCTGATCAAGAGCCAAGGTTGCATAAACTAAATACATTTTAAAAGAAAATATAAGAGAAAAGAAAAAAATATCTAGGTTGCAAACACTATGGAAGACAAGGCATATTTCTATTTAATCACTGAAGATCACCACTAAATGAGTGATTTAGAAAAGAATGGAGGAGAGTTGTGATTCGTTAATTTCTATGGCACAGTTTATTTATGGTGTTTCTTTATAGTACATCTCATAATCCACATAACAGAAAACTTACTCCCAAAAGGTTTATTAAATTTTGGAAATATAGAGTGCATGACATAATGGATCTTAAGTGCTTAGACCACAGAAGGCATTTACATTAGTTCGCTAGGACCACCATAACTAAATATCAAATATCACTGACTGGGTATCTTAAACAATGGAAATTAATTTTCTCACAGCTCTGAAGGCTAGAAATCAAAGATCAATGTGCCAGCAGGATTGGTTACTTCTGAGGGCTCTCCTAGAGTTGCAGACAACCACCCTCTTTGCACCTCTTCATATGGTAGTCCCACTGTGCACCTCTGGGGTCTGTTGTGTGTCTAAATGTCCTCTTCTTTAATGGGCACCAGTCAGATTGGATTGGGGCCCACCCTTATGGTTTCATTTTAACTTAGTTACCTTTTTAAAGGATGTATCTCCAAATATAGTCACAATCTAAGTGACTGGGAGTTAGGAATTCAACATATAAATTTTGGGGAACACAATTCAGCTCCCAATAGCCTTTAATAATTTTCAGTTGCTCTGTGTTTTGTCTGATTCTCTCCTTACTTCTTTATGTAACTTACTAGTCCCACACAACCCCTGTATCTGCTTGGTTTCATTTGTTGCTGAGAGGTTTATTTGCTGTAGTGAATCTAATAACCTAAAATCTTGTTATTGGATATGGTTTGTGTATTGGGGCTTCTAGATAAATATTTACATGTTTATAAATTTACCTGTAAATGTTAAACATTTACATGTTCTTAAAAGAGGAAGGCAGGAGAGTTTGGTGTTTTTACCCTGAAGAGTGAGCAGGGTGGGAATTTCTCACAGGTTACCCAACTAACAATGGAGATCCTTTTAGAGTTGGATGTTTGAATGCTCTTCATATCTACACACGCACAACTGCCTGTTGGAACTATACCTAGGTATGAACTTTGACACTCTCTGTGATTGTATCAGAGTTTGATTTTTTTTTTTTTTACTTTTACTGTATTCTAGAAAAAAAACTAATAAAAATTTTTAAGCTGACATTTTAAAACTGTACCTTCTTTTCCTCTGGAAAGAACATTCATGCTTTATTATTTGTGTGTCTTTTTTTCCTTCTGGCTTTCAAATTTTTCAAACATATATGTCTATGCTTCTTGCTGTCAACTTTAGTGATAAAAAAAGAATTTTTCTCGCTGCTTGTTTAAATTTTCCTTAGTGAGAATTCCACCACAAAAACAAACAAACAAAACAATTCAGGAAATACTAATGTAGTTTTCTTTTTAGTTTAACATTATTTATGGTTGTATATTTTCTGTTAAATTATTATCAATTATTTCATAATTGGTTCTGCTATCAGGCCCTTCAGCCCTTGTAAGCCATTTGCAAGACATTTCTAAAATACTCTGGAAGAAATCCAATAAAGATAGACCTGTCTACCAACTTGACAGTCATTTCTTTAGAAATGCCTTTGGGAAAGTACCATCCATTTTTCTTCATTTTTCCCCATTGAGAAATGAGCTAAACTAATTTCTACTACAGTGTTAAGTCATACTTTCATTTTATTCAGGGAACTTTTCAATTACAATTTTACAGAGGAAAATACGATTTTACAAAGGAAAATTTTATTTTTACCTTCAGGTTTATCATCAAGAATTAACAGAAATTTTAATAGCCAGCACAGTTCTTTCCCATTACTTAACTAGTGAATATGAAAGCTAAAATTTCTACCAGATTTTCAGTTGCTCTTGTTTTGGTCCAATATGTTGGTATTTGCAGGGATGAAGAACCAGGAGGCCAGTTGGTTACAGATAAGTTCCATATTGACTGGGATTCCGTACTCATTGACATGGATAACGTCATTGTAGCAAGATTTGATGGCAGAGGAAGTGGATTCCAGGGTCTGAAAATTTTGCAGGAGATTCATCGAAGATTAGGTTCAGTAGAAGTAAAGGACCAAATAACAGCTGTGAAGTAAGTGGGTGCACATTTTTCTTCTGTTTTCTATAATAACAGAGTCTAAGTATATACATATAATATTACTAACCCTGACTCAAGGCTTCTATTTTGGTGACTGAGCAATGTTGTAAGGTAATCATAAAACCTATTTCATTTTTTTCAAGTACCTGTCACCCTTAGTGGTATAATAAAATAATTCTCATATTTCCCCCTCTGGAATTAAAATTTACTTTGGATTTGTGAAAGTAGGATACATTTTAATTATGCCACTATATTATTTGTTTATAGTAATCCACAATGTCTGTTATATCCTCAGTTAATCACAATTCTTGAAGTTTCACAGATACCATTACCACACTGGCATGAATGTGTGACCTAAGAAAGTTAGTGGGTTCTTTATAATAGCACACAGAAACCATATATGATATGGTTCAGATGTAGACATTGATTCAGTAGGAATGGAACGGGGCCTAGGCTTCTGCATTTATAACAAGCTTTCAGGTGATACCAAACTACTAGACCATCACTTTGAGTAGCAAGATTTGGGAGTATATGACCCTTATACATGAATAGAGCTACAGTTAGTAAAACATTTCTAGTCATTAGCTATTGTTTTGGATGTATGCATGCCAAGTATACATTTGTATACACATTTAACTTACAAAGATACAACTATTGTTTTTCTTTTTCATTGCAGATTTTTGCTGAAACTGCCTTATATTGACTCCAAAAGATTAAGCATTTTTGGAAAGGTAAATAGTAGAAATGCTGAATCTACCTTTCTAAGTATATCTGTGTATCTATCTATCCTATTACACATTCACAGGAGGCCAGTTGGTTACAGATAAGTTCCATATTGACTGGGATTCCATACTTACTAATATGGAAAACCTCACTGTAGCAAGATTTGATGGCAGAGGAAGTGGATTCCAGAGTCTGAATATCATATATATGAAATACATAATATAATGAAGCATGTATATGTACACATATATGTATTGTTTGTATGTATGTATGTAATTACATGCTTCATTATATTATTATGAATTATATTATTATTATCATTATTTGGAATGATCACTTTCTTAGATGTTTTCCTTTTAAAAAAAAACACGAAAAACAAATCTTTCTTATATGTATTGTTTGTATACATATGTAATTACATGTATGCATTGTTTGTATGTATACATATGTAATTGCATGCTTCATTATATTATGATTCCTCCGTATTATCCTTTAAAAATGTAATAGCATAATTAATATTATATACAGTCAGTCATTTATTCATTCAATAACTATTTATTGGGCAGTTAGTTGGCACCTGGTGTTAGAAGTAGAACAACAACAGGACAAAAGGGGGCTTTGTTTTCATGAAGCTTGTGTTCCAGAGAGGGGAAACAGTAAAGAGGTAAATGAAAAACACAGTTTCATGTGGTAATAAGCCTCATAAGGAAAATAAAGAAAAACTGATACATAAAAGGTAACTGTAGAAAAGGCCAATGTCATTAGATTGAGTGGTCAATTTAGGCCTCTCTGATGAGGTTATATTTAAACCTATACCTAAATAACAAATGGAAGCTGGTCAAATAAATCTCTTGAAGTAGAATATTCTCCATAGGAAAAAAAAAAAAAGACTAGCAAGTATCGCAATCTTAGGAAAACAGACACAGGCTGAGAAATGAGAAATGACCAATGTGCATAATTATATCATCTGTGCTCTCTGAACAATATTTACTTATTGCAGTAACTGTTGTGTCAGGTTCAACATTATTTTGACAGTGGGAAAATAGACGTCATGTAGATATTTATTGAGCTTGTTTTTTATTTTTGTTTTTTGTTTTATTTTTTTTTGAGATGGAGTCTCGCTCTGTTGCCAGGCTGGAGTGCAGTGGCGCAAACAGGGCTCACTGCAACCTCCGCCTCCCGGGTTCAAGTGATTCTCCTACCTCAGCCAACTGAGTAGCTGGGACTACAAGCATGCGCCACCATGCCCAGCTAATTTTTGTATTTTTAGTAGAGACAGGGTTTCACCATGTTGTCCAGATGGTCTCGATTTCTTGACCTCATAATCTGCCCACCTAGGCCTCCCAAAGTGCTGGGATTGCAGGTGTGAGCCACTGTGCCCAGCCTATTGAGTTTAACAGATCAGTGGACAATGTATTGTAAAGGTAAAATGATGAAAGGGAAAGGAAGACCTTGAACTATTTTAGTTTAGAAATAAAGCAAATTCTTGGTGTTCATGTATTTAAACGTATGATATTTTCTACTATTCATAAGTAACCTAGAGATCCATGACATAAAATAACTGGTAACTTTAATTGGGGCTTAAATTTTGGTGGTACAC